ACACACACACACCTTGGGACCAGCAGTTAGCATAATGGCTATGTCACTGGACTCCCATGTAGTCAACTGCAGTTCGAGTCCTGGACCTGGTGGCTTAAACTCACATCGGGCATACATGCCCAAGATCCCAAGAGGAAAATGGAGAAAGGATTGCAGCGTGGCCATCCCCCCCGGGGGTGATTTCTCACTTTCTCTCTGTCTCTCTCTGTCTTCCTGGTGAGTGCACGCACCTATAGCAAAAACCTCTCAAAAAAAATTTTTTAAATATATATATACCTTTATAATCAATTAAAATTGGAACAGAATAGTAAAAATTGCATTAATGAGAAAATTGTTTTTAATTTATTTCCAGAAAATTAAAATGAAAAACTTATTTTAGACACACCTATAAGCAAAGCCACCTCTGTGAAAATCGTCTAAATTACAGTTATCAAGAAAGACCTGGTTGCTAGCCTTCTGTGGTCAACAGAAGAAAGTGAGTGGAAATCCTAGTCCCTCACCACGACAGCTCACACGGACTGTGCTCAACAGGAGCAGCGCAGTGCCAACTGAAGTGACAAGGGGCTGCTGGGTCACTTGCCATTCACTGATTGCCTGCTGTAAGCCAGACGCTTAGGACGGCAGGTGCCGGGGTACCAAGAGACAGACAGAGGCACTGACTCAGGATATTTGCTGAGCCCTAGTCCCTGAGGGTCTCTGAAGAGCTCACTGCACAGGCAGACTGGCCTGCAGGACAGACGAACACGGAAATTAAAACTCCTTGTGGTGACAGCCATTAGAGTAAGGAGCTCTCTTTTTCTTTTTTCCTTTTTTTTTGAGAGATTTTTGCTATGGAGCACATGCACTTGCTGGAGAGACAGAGAGTTACAGAGAGACAGAAAGTGAGAAATCACCCCACCCCCCTGGCGGGGGATGACCATACCACAGTCCCTTCTCAATTCTCCCCTCAGGATTCTAGGCACACATGTACATGTCTGGCATGATTTTCAAGTCACCGGGTCCAGGACTTGAACTGTGGTTGGCCATGTGGGAGTCCAGCACCTTATCAACTATGCCACCTGCTGGCCCCAGAGGTCTCTTCCATAATATACGAAACAAAGCAACTGTCTCTGCACAGAGGTGCTGTTCTTTGGGAGGCTGTTTGTTCACCCACCTCCTCACTCAGCTACCAGTGGCTGTGTACTCAGCACCAAGGCCTGGACCAGCACACACAAAGTGGACACCCAGGGGTGGTCTGGGAGACCGTTACACGAGGCCCACAGTGCAGCGCCCGCCCCGCAGGCAAGATGATCAGTCACGACGTTGTATCTCTGTAAGCAAGGACAGGGTGGAGGTAATGGCAGAGCTTTGGTGTGCCCTGCCCAGGACAGGCAAGTGGGAGAGTCGCTGTGAGGCTGTCATAGGCTGCTGTAATGTGAGAGCAGGCGCCATTCGAAATGGTGGCTTCAGCATCTTCCTGCCCACCAGGCGAGCTGAGGAACTGCCATGCAGCTCTAGGAGGGCCAGGGCATGTCTGTCCTGCACGTGATCCAGCTGGCTAGGCCGGGGGAGGAGCGTGGTGTCGAGACACTGTCAGAGGTGCTATCTCAGACTCTCTCGCATGCTCATGGGATAATTTGTGTGTGGGTGTTTGTTATAGGGTGTGTGCGCTCACCAGAGAGAAAGAGACAGAGATAAGGAAAGTGAAAAATCATTCTCCGGGGGGATAGCCATGCTGCAATCCCTTCTCCTCCATTCTCCTCCTGGGATTTTGGACATGCACACACACCTGCCTGGCATGGTTTTCAAGACTCTGGGTCCAGGACTCCAATCATGGTCATCCATGTGGGAGTCCAGTGCCTTACCCACTATGCCACCTGCTGGTCCTGGTCCCACTTTTTTTTTTTTAAAGAAAGTGCCATTATCATCCCCATCAGAGCCACTTCCTGGGTGTGTGAGCTTTACAAAGCCCCGCAAGTCCCACACTTAGAAGGTCTATGTTTGGTTTAATGCTCTGTTTTATTTTGAAATTCTTTTTCTTTTTTAATCTTTATTTTTCTAGATTTTGTCAGAGGGTACATGTGATCACCAGAGAAAGACAGAGAGAGAAAGGGGGAAAGGAAGAGCGCACCCTCCATGGGCCATGGTCATGCCACAATTTCTTCTCCTCCACTTCTCCCTACTTCCAGGATTTGGGGTACACATGCACACATGCCCAGCATGTTTCTCAAGCCACGTCTGCGACTCAGACCACGCAGTCAGTTATCAGATCCAGCTGCGTTAACCACCAGGCCACAGGCTGGTCACATCTTAAACTTCTTAATAACTTTCTTTTTCTTTTCTTTTTCTCTTTTTA